CCCCTCAACCATCAAACTCCTTGGAGCTATACTCCTCGGCAGAACCTGTGTGCCAAAATTTATTAGTATGATTTGTACTAGCCACTCCCACCCTATGAGCATTGCTTTGTGGAAATTGGATGCAAGTTGGATATAATCAAGAGGAACCTATAAGGCTGGGGTTTCCTATGTATTAGCATATCAAGTATATAATAATAGTTGGTCAAGTTTTAACATCACTCCCACACCCATTCCACCCCATTTCCGTCTAGAGCCAGGTTTCGATCCCGGGATCAATATACCATCATCTCCACACCATCACCATACCACAACCATACCATCGCTCAATCGACAGGCCAACTCCCTCTCGGCACTGTCTCAAGGCCCGTAGCCCCTGGCTACGTCCGAACACTCACTCCTAGGGGAAGAAGAGAAGGACTCATCTCACTATCTAGTTTAAGCGAAACCCAGGAAAGGTCCATAGCCGACAAGTCGGCATATGTATCGATCGATCAACCATACACTCTACAGAGGTTTTACATAACCACAAGATCTGCCTTCCTCGCTGACCATCGTCAACTGGGCTGATTCTGGCCACTTGCTAGCCTAGGATAATGTCACTCTACCATTCAGCCCTGGTACACCCCAAGTCTGGTCTGGGGTGGCTGAAATTGTGAGTCATGAGCCAGGTCCACAAGGTCTCCATGAAGTCTCGGAAGGGTGTGGAGGGAATCCTCCGTGCCCCGTACCTCCCTCACACTGTCCGCTATCATCCTAGCAGTAGTGGCAATATCCTACCCAGTAGTCCGGCCGTCCCACACCATATAGGGCGAGTGGTACGTAAGGCTTCCCGGTGAATCTGAGTACTAGTAAGTCCTTAGGGATGACCAAGCCAGAATGTCTTCATCTGGGTTTCCATTTACCGTGCCACCACAGCACCTCCACCCTAGGCTCCTCCCATCACAGGTTCACACCCAGGGCCACCTCATATACCGTTTACCCACCACAGGTATTCAATCCAGGGGTGCCCAGGTAGCATCCCACGGCAAGACTTGCCCCAGGCTCGTCGTATACTCCAACTTGGTCGACACAACCCTCACCCTCCACGCACCCAAGTCACACACACAGCACTCTCCCCATAGTCCAGATAACACCAGTTTCCATCTCGAATCAATGTAGTGCAAGCGTAGTAGAAGTAATAAGCAATGAAATATAGTAGCGAGCGTGTGACTAGCCTAACAGTAGGGTGAACAGGGGTAAGGTTGCGTCAAGGTAAAGGCCATCAAGAAAGCATACTACCATGCAAGTCCTAGCATAGTGTGATTATAACAATAAAGTAAAGCAATAGCAGTTCTATATTAGCCATGCATAATAGGTGCTACGAGGTTGGGTGGGATGTGGCACCTTCAGTGTAGTCATCTCCGTACTCCTCACGGTACTCACGATCCTCGTCCGTCCGGTTCTCCTCCGAGTCTACAAACGATCGCATTATAGTCGCGTTAGCGACGTCTATAGAATAGCACAAAGAAGCAATGAAAATTCAAAGGAGCCAAATGCACTCAAACATGGGTTCATTGCGTAGAGCTCGATTTTAGATGAATTTTGGTCCTAGTTTCGTATTTTCTGAGGTCATATGAATTAGTTATGTATTTCCGAAGATTAAATTAAGGCTGATTAATTCAGGGTTGACACATGTCAGACTGTGACTGGTTCACGTGGCATGTAGGGACACAGCTGGCATGGTGGTCGGAGAGGTCGCCGAAGTGGTCGGAGAGCTTGCCGACGTGGTCGGTGAGATCGCTGAGGTGGTCGGAGAGCTCGCCGACGTGGTCGGTGAGATCGCTGAGGTGGTCGGAGTGGTCGCTGAAGTGGTCGGTGGGCTTGCCGAGGTGGTCGGAGAGATCACGGGGGTGGTCGAAGTGATCGCCGATGTGGTCGAGAGATTGCCGAAGTCCTCGATGCTGGCGTGGTCTCTTCATCGGCATGACGTCATCATGGCACCATCCGAGCTAAACCGCGGCTGACAGGTGGGTCCGGGGTCAAACGGTGTCATGGTGAACCCGCCTGTGTTGGTCCATAGACCACAGAGCCGGTCTATGAAGGACTTGGTCCACTTACTCCTTCCCAGTGTTCGGTTCACGTGCACCAAGTGCTCAGACGTGTGGCCGGCGAGGGGAAAATTACAATCTTCTTCCCCGTCGTGCTCCCACCAGTGGTGAGCTGACCGGCGAGCCCCTCCAGCGGCGCGGGTGTGCAACTAAGGTGGGCAAAAGCTTGGCCATGCCATAGCGGGTGTCCCAGTGAAGTTAACGTGGTGGTCGGGTGGCTCCAGTTGGCTGGCCGCGGTGAACGGTGGCGTGGGTTCGTCGGCGTGCATGGACAGGCTGCAGTGGTAGCGAGAGCCCAGTTGGAGGAGCGTGTGAGCTCCATGGTGCTTCTACGACCATGGCGAGAAGGTCGAAGGGGCTCCGGGAGCTCTCAACGCCTCCGACCACAGTGGTTGGGGCATAGCGGAGGCGGTGGCGCTCCAACATGGTGCGGTGCAGCAACGCAGGGCTCCGGTGGGCTTCATCCTCGGCTAAGGTGAGCGCGGTGTGTCTCTCGTCATGGCGGAGCCAGTCAGGGTGTCAACGTTGCCTTTACCGCGACGTAGAAGACGCGGTGGTCTCACCATGGTTGTGCTCTGGCCATGGTGAGCGTGTGCGTGCGTGAGATGCGTATGCATGGCATAAGCAGAGCGCTCGGCGCTGACGTTCCCGAGCAGAGGGCTCGGCGTCGCCCGCTTTCTTCCCTTTGCTTAGCGTTTCCATTTGGCTCAACAAGAGGGTCGTGGGTCCTTCTATGCTACCGGTTGGCTAAGCCGGAGCAAGAGCTCATGCTCCGACGTGGTCCGTTCATGGTGTCCGAGAGGCTAGGGGTGGTCGTGCCGGTGTTCCTGAGCCGCTAGGGGTCGGTGACGCCAGGCCTTGGGCTGGTGCGCATGCGGTGCGTGTGCAAAGTGTCCAGAGCGGGAAAGCTCCGCCTCTTCGTTTCCCTAGGTGCGGGGACGCGGTGAGCGGCGAACAACATGGCTCACCGTAGGGCTATTGGCGGTAGGATGGCGGTGCGGTGGCGAGGCGAGGACGTGATGAGGCGATGCAGTGCCGTGCCGAGCAGCTACGTCGCTGTAGCCGATCGGGGCGGCGCTCCTGGCTTCAGCGAGGTCTGGTTCCGTAGCGGCTTTCTTCTCCTCCTTGCTTCTTCCTCCTCCCTCTCTCGTCTCGACGCGGTGTGGTGCTGTGCCACCAGCAGCGGCGGCGAACGGGTTGAGGGTTAAGGCTCGTGGGCGCCGGCTTTTATAGCCGGGCTCCAAGGCTCCAATGGCTGACGGCGATCGGGCGGTGGTGATGCGTGCGGCGCATCCGACGGATCTCGGGCAGTAGCGTAGGCGCGGCGCGTGGGGGAAACAGGGTCATGCATCTTGCGTGACCTCCCCGCCTGCCCACGCTCACGGTCGGCTCCCTATCGCGTGGTGGAGGGAGTGGGAAAACGACGACACCAGTAGCTAGGCGGTCGATGAGAGGGGGCCCGCTTTGTCAACTTGTCCTGATCTTGCGGCGGCGCTGCTGGTGCGTGATGGTGACAAAGGGTCCGGCTCGTCGGTGGCTTGTGTGTGTGTGCGGCGGTAGAGTGTTGCTTGGGCGGCCGTGGGCGCGTGCTGAGTTAGGCGGTAATAGTGGCAGTTGGTCTCTGAACAGTCAGGTCATGAGGCCGAGGCCGAAGGCCTGCTGGGCTGCGAGGCCTCCTTCTTCATTCCTTTTTCTTTTTTTTTCTTTCTTTTTGTATTATGTTACACTTCTTTCATATATATAAATCAAAGTGGCATATTTCTCCTTTGGTATAATGTCCCATGGTGATAAACATTGGTCATAGTATATGTTGGTATATTAATCCCATGTTAGTACATTTATTTATAACAAATATTTGTTAGCTTTTATTAATCAACACATAAATCCAAATAAAATCCAAATCACCATGTTGAATATAATGTAACTTTATGTATGCTATGTGGTAAAATAAATTCAAGGTGATGAGGTGAGATACTTGTGCAAGTCATGTAGGTTTAGTTAGATTACGACTAATGCAACACTTAGGGTTAGCTCCTATAAATGTCACTCATCATCACATGGGGTCTTGAAGAAAAAATTTTGTAGTTGTGATTTTTGGTGTGTGGATTTTTGTGTTGTTACAAGCAGCCCCTACAAATCGATTTGTAGGGGCGGCCTGGAAACCGCCCCTACAAATGCATGATTTGTAGAGACGATTCGGTAGGGGCGGCTGGCCAAACCGTCCCTACGAAGGGTTACCAGCCACCCCTAAAAATGCTTTTTGTAGTAGTGTAATATTGGTTAAAGATAGATCTAAGTACTCCAGCTTAGTCCATGCACAAGTAGGCAGCCCCTCTAAAAATTCTGAAATGTCCTGGTTGATGTGATTTGACTGCAAAGATAGAGCCCTCAAATTGCACATGTTCTTTAATGGTTTTGAATTTACACTGTTGAGATTATTTTCTCCGAGATGAAGTTCTTCTAGGAGTGTCATGTTTCCCACTGCATCTGGAAATAGCCCAACTATTACATTGCCTGTAAGGTCGAGATACCTGATGGTGCTGATATCCCAGAACCAGTAGGAGGGATTCAAGGTGTTGAGAAAATTGTTTGATAGATCAACCACTTGCAGGGATGTGAGGTTAGGACGCAGCATAGGAGCGTATGGGAGAGCCAGTTCACACCCTGAAAGTATTAGGGTTCGTAAATTAGGAAGCGTGTTGATCACCTGAACCCAATCCGCAGTGCCGTTGAGATCCACAAAACTCATGTCGAGAAGCCTTAGCAAAGGGAGATGTGATAGACAGGAGATATCATCAGTGCGCAATCTAGAGATGTTACCATAACCGTAACAGCTGAGACTGAGATACTGCAATCTAGAGATGTTACCAAGTTGAGAAGGCATTTTACCATCAAAATTCATGAATGAGAGGTTCAAATATACCAAGCTTTGGAGAGAGCCCAGAATCTTGGTATGGACACCCCTACTCCGCCAAGATTGTTTCCACTGAGATCAAGATACTCCAGATGATGCAAAACAGTTAAAGAAGAACTTATCTTCCCGCGCATAGAGCGAGGATTATCAGAGTCCGATGGAACTAATATATCATCTAGGAAGAAATTGTTGCGGAGATCAATCTTGATGACATGGCCGGTGCTGTTGCTGCACTTGACGCCACTCCACTGGCAGCAATCCTGGCCATTCCAGGTAGCAAGGATGTTCTGTGGATCCCTTACGATGTTGCCCTTAAAGGACAGCAGTGCATCTCTCTCATGTGTGAAACACCCAGCAGAGAAGGATATGGTGGTGGCCAGAACAAGCAGGATGCAAAAGGCGGCGACTGCATCCATGGAGGATTGGTGTGGTTACAGAGTAGCAAGAATACGTTGTTGCTTCTGGTTTCCAGGAAACTAGTCAGCACTATAACATGGATGTATGAAAGCGATCCAGCCGGCAAACGATGCGCCTCTATTAGATATAATATGCACCAATATAATAGTGGCAAACACGGCTGCTCAGTGGTGATTTGATTGACGAAATTTAGAACAAGTCGTCTCTGACCGCAAAACAGATTCTGACTTGAATGATGACTTCACTTCTTATTATATGTACACAACACAAGCCGGCGATGTCTAAATACAGGCCGGCCGGCGATGTCCGGAAACATTTTGCTTATTGGTATCTGTTGTCGCTTGTTATTGGAAGATTCTTCAGGGTGCTGAGGCTTCATGTCATCATGTGGTTGCTGACGGAGCAAAGCACTTACTAGGTTGAGTTCATGAGTGGTACGGTACGGCCGAATGCATTTTATTACTACAATCGATTGTTTCCTTGTAACAATCACCGTGCTGTACCTGAGCGACATCCTCTAACTTGACCCTCATCGACTTGCCTCTCCAGTCGGAGACGCATGGCCGCCGCCCGCTAAGGATCGCACGTCCGCTCTTTGGCTCGAGTTCCTGCCAGGCTCCAACGCACCGCACCTCCTCCACGCGTTGCTGAACGCTGCCTGTTGTTTCTGGAGCCGCTCGCTTCTTTAGCTCCACTGCTTCTTTAGCTCCACTGCCGTTTTTTTTTTGGTACGTTTTTTTTAAGTGTCTGGTTATCCACCGACAGGTTTTATACGATGAAATCTGTCAGATTTTTTTTATAAATGCGACCCAGTAATTATAAGCACGTTAAAGTGACAGTTGTAACATAAATCTTAAAGCACAATTAAACGTATAGAAATTTAACATATTTAGTACTAAAATATATGTCATCAGATAAATAGCAAAAGTCCTTTTTTTCACGATCAGGCGGCGATTGTCTGGTGCTTGCAACTGGTCGCCACTGATCTTGGAACTCGTGCGCCGTTCTGCACTCCATTTCTTCCTGTTAGATTACAGCAGCGTTGCTCTAATTTGGTTGCCTTCCCTCTCCCTCTTAGATTATGTTGGAACCGATTGAAGGAAACATCAACGTAACTTACTTGCAAGGGCCGAGCTCGGGTTTAAATATAGAGGTGTTACTTAAGCCGATAATAATCATACATAATAAAATATATGCACGATGAGAACATGGGTAATAACCAAATAAATATTAATTTTACGATATAAAAGAAAGCTAGAACTAAAAAATACTAAATATTACAAAGCCGGTGGAGCTAGAAGTCATGACTCTACCACATCCTCTTTCCTCATTTCATTTTTAGCCTCGAAAATTGAAACGGCTCCACACTACAGTCCAAAATCCAAACAGTACTGCAATAGTATTTTTCAGGAGGAGCACATAGAAGCTATACCAAACAAGGTCAAACTCTAGATGGTTAGGGAGGTCTGTACATGTGCTGTACCATTGTTAATTATTTCCATGGTAGGAAGGAGTACATGCACCCTGTTCGTTTGGGTTTGTTTGGCTGATAAGCCATGACTGAAAGTACTGTTGGCTGATTTAGTGTAAGAGAAAAATATTGTTCGTTGGCTGAAAAAGTACGGCTTATAAGCCAAACAAGCCCAAGCGAACAGGGCGATGAATGATGAGTAGTAGAAGACTACGAGGTGAGATCTTGCTGCAGGTGCATTTGGTTCTTGAGGAGAGAAAGAGTAGGTTCCTTTGGCCGGGCACCCTATCCCCACACCCCGGAGTTAGTGAGTGCGAGGCCGAGGAGGCGAGGACGCCGCCGCTGCCAGACATAGTCAAGACGGCGGACACGGGCGACGCGCATGCAGCAAGCTAGCAAGGCCGCGAAGGCGAGCCAGCGTCCCTCTATCTGTCATGGGCCTCGGTTCGACTGGGTGGGTCGTAGTCATCTCTGGCCCTAGTAGTCGCCAGCCCAACCCAAGCCAGGCGCGCGACTCCCACAGGAGACGGGCGACTCCTGCTCGATTGCGCTGCGCCGCTGCCCGCTCGTCCCCTCCCACCTCGTCCCTCTTGGTTCCCACGGTTCTCCCTGCTCACCTCTGCGCCGGCGCATCGCCCGCTAGCCCACCTCATGCCGGCTGCTTGGCGCTCCTAGGCGGCCAGGAGTGGAGGCGCCCAGGCCCTAGCCGCTGGGCCGCTGGCCAGCCCCCACGTGGCTAGGGACACACTGAAAATCTCCACACTCGGGAATTATAACACAACAGGTACATATAAGTTATGAGTTATTATCAAAATAGTTACAACATCAAGTGGAAGAAATCTAACTACAAACCGAAACCGACTTAACTACTTGTCTAAGATGACATGGTTGTCATTGGCAGCACTGGCGCAGGAACAAGACGTGGCTTCTCGTTGTGGTTGGTGCCATGACGTAGGTGGCCCTTAGGAGCTAGCGTAGCAGTGGCAGGTCACACATGCTTTGTGACCTCGTCGGTATCGCAGCTATATTTTGTTGTCGGTGGGTTGTTGTGGTTGTTATGGCACGGGAAGATTGGCCTTGTTCGCTTGAACTTATCAGCCATGGCAGCCTGACTTTTCAGCGAAGCGAACAGAGCCATTGTCTCGCGTGGCGATGACAAGGTCGGCGCTGCTATGGCAATCCACGATGTGGCAAGGTTTGGGTCTTAGAGTGTGTGGGGGGGAGGGGGAGGAGGTTGTCGGGTGAAGGCCTTGCCAGGCATTGGCTATGCCCAACAATGGTGACGTCTTTTGGTGGCACGTCTCTCGTTGAAGGCATTGTCATAAGGCCTGCTTCCCCTCTAGAAGTCTGGTTGAAAAAAACTTGGTTCTCTAGTCGGCATTGACGACGTCTATGGGTGTCATTTTTTCTCCTTGGTCGCATCATTGTGGAACACCCCTCATTCCCCCTCCCTAGTCTACAATGCTTGTTCTCTATGGTGTGCATGGTGGTACTTAGGCGGACGATGCTACCGAGGTTTGTCATATTTTTTTTGCAGTGGTAATTTGTTGCGACCTCCTTCATGAGGATGTTGTTCTGTTTTGTTTCTTTAGTTTATTATAAATCGCTTCTTCTATATTAATATATGGCGGGCATGTTCTTGCTGTTGGCTTTTCGGAAAAAAAAGAGTCATATCAAGAGATGTGCCAATTGTGCCAACTATTAATGAACATAGCCGGCAGCTTAAGGGTTAAGCCGTTCCAGTTATGTCCACCTAGACAATTTCTTTATTCTTGATGCACAAGAAGTAGTGGTGCCTGAAATTTGAAATCAAAGATAGAAATAACTGGCCAGCACGGTGGGATATGCTGATCTGTGAGGAGTCCAACATAATGAATAAAATATCACTCTGCATACGCACAAAATAGAAAATATGAGCCTTTTGCTGTATGAGAGCAGGAAAGGTTGCTAGAACCTTTTGCTTTCTGTTGATGAAAGTTCGTTTTGATCACGAGGAATGGAGATCGTTTCTTTATTCTGGAGGCACAAGAAGTACTGGTGTCTGAAATTTTATTTTTTGAAACTAAAGATAGAAGAGAAATTTTATACTGGCTAGCACTGGTGGGCTATGCTGAAATTTTTGGGCTTCCTTGAGCTTGGTCTGAGTTGCATGTAGAATTTTGTTTGTGAAACCAGCTTGTTGCGGCACTACACATTATTGGATCTCAGTCAATCTGCGAAGGCCTAACTAACTTGTTACAGGCTTACAGCGACCAACCAAACGAGGCGGTCGTCGTCATAATCAACGCGCGAGCCCGGTGATAAGCTTTTGTCGATCCTTCGTCTGATCGGTTGGCTGATTCATTTCGTTGCTGGTTCGTAAAGAAGTATTACTGGCTGGTTTGTGTGAGAAAAAAATATTATTCCAGCTGAAAATTTACGATCGTTTACGACAAGCTACAGCCAAATGAACAGGCTGCCTGAAGGATTCTATAAGAATTCCAGAGAAGACCGATGAGTTGTCTCAGTTCAGTGGAGTAGCGCATGACTGAAAGAGCCAACAAGAACATGGCTTTCTGAAACTGCTTGTACAAATTAGGGACAATACAATGCAAGTGTGGCTAAATACTGCTATTCCGTCTGTTCGCTGGTTAGTTCCTGGCTGATAAGTCCGACTGGTGCTGATTTATTATGAGAGAAAAACACTGTTGGCTGACTGATAAGCCATAACTAAAACCAACGAACGAACAAGCCGATTATTTACGTGCATGTTGTGTGTATAAAAAACTGATCCTGCCATCGTGGATCGAAGCTGCACAAGTTATTGCTGTAGTCTTTATAATAGGAATGGCCGCGAATGAAAAGAATAGTCCAAGTAGTACAAGTGTACGACATAGAGAAAGTGACAGTGTGTTAACTGTTACGTGATTTGTCAGCAAGGAATTATTCTTCCAGTCGTAGCAAATATTCGTAAATATAAATAAATGCAGGGAGCTTATGTTTTTTTTAAACACAATCTTCATTGCTCACTCCGTCTACAAAAAAATACAATTATGGGAACCGTACCGGTCAATCTAAATCAAGTTTAACCAAATTTATAGTAAATAGTATTAGTACTTATGTCTCTAAATAAATTTATTATGAAAATATATTCTATAATTAATTTAATGATACTTATTTTGTCTCATGAGTGTTAGTAATTTTTTATATAATTTCAGTGAAAGATTAAACTGTTTGACTCCTCAAAATATGATAATTGTATTCTTTCGTGCATGGAGAATTGCTGGTCCCCGGATCCTCAACAAAAGTGAAGTACATCATCCCGAGTGATTGGCATATCACTTGAACACTTGTACCCATAAGCCGCAATGGCATCTGCTACTTTGTTACATAAACGTGGACACATACTTTGCTACACGCAAATTCCGTCATCAACAAGTGGCGCACAACCCGAAATGTTTTAAGTCTTCGTATGAAAAATGAAAATATATTGAAACGCCAGCACTTGCTTCGCGTGGTGGGCTGCAGGTTTCGGTTGATATTTTGTTG